CGTTCACGAAGGCCTTGGTTTTGGGCGAAGCCTAGAGCTATCTCATCATCGACTTCCCTGCTTGCTCTAATCACGACTGTGCCGCGAGGATTCGTTCACGAAAGCCATGATTTTGGGCGAAATTGGGAGGGAGGAGAGAAGATGGATTATTTACAATAAGTTTTAATTTTGTTAATTTAATTTATAAATATATAATGATTAATTCATATATTTTCAAATTAATCATAATTAGACAAATTTATATATTATTATGTAATGATAATTAATTAATTTATAAACATATTTTTATGTTTTTAATTGTTTGATAAAAATATACGTTTTCTTAATTATTAAAACTACTTAATTATTATTTAATGTAAATTTATTATTTAAGAAATAATTTGTTTAATAAAAAATTTATTTTATTTCTGCTTTAAAGAGCTTTACTGAACAGGAGCAGAATGATCAATTTTCCAGAAACAGCTGTCCCACAGTTATTTCCACACTTCCGCAACAAACAAACAGTCGGCTTCCCCGCAACAGTTTCTTGGGGCACCGCAGTTGCAGCTAAAAAGCTGCAGCTGTCCCAAACAGATCCTTAATTTGTCCATTATTTTTTTTATTATTATTTTTTCAAAATGATAGCATAAAAGAAATTAAATAGTAAAGCAGCATCATAAAAATAAAATAAAATTAAGAGGCATCATAAGATAAAGTTATCTGAATGAATATCGACAACATACACTACTTTGAAGGGTAACCTCACCAAAAAAAAATTCAAAATATGTTAACTACTTAAATTTCAATGGTACAATTGACATCATCCCTTAAAATAATGACAAGAATTACATGCTAAAACTATAAGGCCCAGAACATTCTTCACGACAAAAAAATAATAAAAAAGAAGAAAAAGAGAAAAGAAGATTTCTTTTTCATAGGGCTAGACAATTATGAAAGCTTAGATGGCAACACGACTGAGAGTTTTGCACTTTAAACTCAACCAAAATTTCGGATAGTACAACCATATTACATTAAATAATTTAACTATTTCAAGTATATTGTCAATTCTCACGAAAAAAAAATACTATACAAACAAAAACTGCTAAACAAAATTCTAAGATATTAAAGAAGAGGATAAAATTCATTTGACCAAAAAATTCAAAACTTCTATATAAATAACATAATGTTGACGACAAATTATTGTTGCTTGCACTCAAGAGGCCTATTAGTTAGGTTATATTCTCACAATAATGAAACTACACATATTCTCCTTCATAATAAAACAGATGCGAAAGATTTTATGTCTAACACAATTTTGATCCCTCTTAAGCTTAATTTGGAGAGCTCATCAAACCACAAGCATCTTACCATCATCTATTATTAGCTAGTATTTTAGTCCATTCTCCTCCTTTTCAAAATCTCCAATATATGCTTCTTCCACTGCACACCCACTAAGTAAAAAAGATCATCCTATTTGGACAGTTGGGATACAATGTGCCCATGTCAATGACAATTGAAATACTTCATTAACGAGAATATCTTTGGAGTACTGGGTTGTACTAGTTTTACTTCACATGAAGTAAAGCTTGGTACTGATAGATGTGCTATTGTTGCAAGGTCTAACCTTCTTTGAAAGTAGAGTGGATTTGATACTATTGTGCTACTTTTTCACCTTGAGATTAAGGTTTGGACATCCTATAAGTAAGATTGTCAAAATAGCTTGTTGTTCGCAAACAGCTCGTTAAGTAACTCGTGTTCGATTTATTCGTTAAACAAACGAGCCGAACACGAATAATTTCTTTTGCGATCGATCTATAAACGAGTCGAACATGAACTAAGATTTGTTCGTTCATGTCCGGCTCGAAATAATTAAATTATATATATATATAT